ATGAAAGTTTGTTCAACATTTGAATATCAATCAACGTAATTTTCCATACAAAGAGAATGAAGACCAAATGATCATCTAGTAGATGCAGCAAAAACATTTGATAAAATTCAACACCCACAATTTTCATAATAAAAAAAAATCTCAGCTAACCAGGAATAAGATTAACCTTCTCAAGCTGATGATGAGTTTCTACAAAAAACTATAGGTAACACCTTAGCTAATGGTGAAACATTACATGCCTCTTGCTATGTTCAGGAAAAAGATAAGAATGTACATTATTACCATTTTTATTCAACATGGAGTCAGTCTAATAAAGCAAGAAAAATATGAAAGGTATAAAGTTTACAAAGGAAAAATAAAACTGTCATCATTCAATGACAACGTGGTTAAGTAGACAATCCAAAGGAATCTATTAAAAAAATTAGAAGGAGGGCTGGCCCGGTGGCGCACTTGGTAGAGTACGGCACTTGGGAGCGCGGAAGCGCTCCCGCCGAGGGTTCGGATCCCATATAGAGACCGGTCCACTCACTGGTTGAGTGTGGTGCGGGCGTGACACCGAGGGTTGTGATCCCATTGCTGGTCATGAAAAAAGACAAAAAGGAAAAAAAAAAATTAGAAGGAATAAATTGAGGGGCCGGCCCGTGGCTCACTCGGGAGAGTGCGGTGCTGATAACACCAAGGCCCCGGGTTCGGATCCCATATAGGGATGGCTGGTTCACTCACTGGCTGAGCATGGTGCTGACAACACCAAGTCAAGGGTTAAGATCCCCTTACCGGTCATCTTTTTTAAAAAAAAAAGAAGGAATAAATTGATACTAAATCAGAATATAAAATTAAATTACATTCCTACACATTTGAAATAAATAATTAGAAGATAAAATCTAGGGGCCGGCCCGGTGGCGCACTGCTACAGTGCACCACTTGGGAAGCGCGGCGGCGCTCCCGCCGAGGGTTCGGATCCCACATACAGACCGGCCGCTCACTGGCTGAGCGAGGAGCGGGGGCAACACCGAGGGTTGTGATCCCGTAGCTGGTCCCGGTCCGGTACGGGCGCGACACTGAGGGTTGCGATCCGTTGCCGGTCACGAAAAAAGACAAAAAAATAAAATAAATAAAATAAAATCTAAAAAATAATATCGCTTACAGTAGTATCAAAAAAAGTCAAATACCTAGAAATCAAATGAAAGATATGTAAGACTTCTACACTGCAAACTACAAAACATTTTGTAGAGAAATTAAAAATCTAAAGAAAGTATATCATGTTCATGAAAATTCAATATAGCAAGATGTCAGTTCTCCCTAAATCGATCAATTAATTCAATGTAATCCCAATTACAATCTCAAAAAATTGTAAAAATTCATAAGTTGATTTTAATATTCATGTGAAATGGAAAAACCTTAGAATAGCTATGATAATACTGAAGAACAAAGTTGGAGGACTATACTATCATATGTCCACACTTACTATATAGGAAGTAATATAGACAATATAGACAAAATACATCAATGCAACAGAATAGAGACTACAAAAATACTTCACATATGTGATTACATGATTTAAACAATGACACCACTGCAATTTATTGTGAAAAGGATGATGTTTTCAACAAAGGTACTTGATCAGTTGGAGATCCACAAAGAAAAAAATGAACTTTGTTCATACTTCTCAACATACACAAAAATTAAATTGAAATGGATACTAGATTTCAATCTGAAACTAAAGCAATTAAACCTCTAGGAAGAACATAAGGAAAATATCCTCTGAATTTGGTTACATAAATTTCTCAACAGTACACAGCAAGTACTAACCATAAAGAAAAAGAAACATGGGCCGGCCCGGTGGCGCACTCTGTAGAGTGTGGCGCTCCCACTGAGGGTTCGGATCCCATATAGAGACCGGTCCGCTCACTGGTTGAGCGCGGTGCGGGCGCGACACCGAGGGTTGCGATCCCGTTGCCGGTCGCGGTATGGGCACGACACTGAGGATTGCGATCCCGTTACTGGTCACGAAAAAAGACAAAAAGGATAAAAAAAAAAAAAAAAAGAAAAAGAAACAAATTGGACTTTATTAAAATTAAATATACTTCTCTTTATCAAAAAAACACCTTTAAGAGAGCAATGAGGCCAGCCTGGGAGAAGATATTTGCAATACATACATTCAATAAAGGACTTGCATTCAGGATATATGAAGTACTTCTCCAAGTGAGTATTTACTACATAATAGCACAGGTGATGGAATTTAGAGGTTTGAAGATGGAGAGGGCAGGTGAAGAAAAGGGTAGGGATATTTATATCCTCATCATATATAAAGGGGAGTTGAGTGATCCTATGTCAGCCTGATGGAACAAGAGATGAAGGCTTAGATATGCTTTAAAGCAAAGGGTAACAAATGGAAGAACTAAAAATAATGACATTATCATACTGGGAAGAGAGATATTAGCAGGGTTAAGGAGGATAAGTAACAAATTTTCAATTATCTTTGCAGAAAGCCAACAGATAGCTTCTGAAGTTGATAAAAAAATAATTGTACTTGTACAAGCATATTATTTAGAAGCATGGAAGTTACTACTAGAAGATCTACAACAAAAAATAGTAAAAAGTGGCTGGCTGCCTTTAGAATATGAGGGTGAAGAGTGGAATTGGGTAAAAGATTTGCTTTTTATTATAATATTCGATATTATCTTACCTATTAAAGAAATACACATATTACTTTGATAAAAATATTTTAAATGATTTTTTAAGTCCCTTCATTTACATTACTATGACTATGCAAATAATTCAGTTATAGGGCCAAGTAATGTGCTAAAACTATGGATCCTTTTTTAAAAGTCACCTTCTGGGCCACTTGAAATACAATGTATCTGGAATCAAGATCAAATGTACTATATTCTCTTCACATCTTAGAACAATTTTAATCTCCCTTATATTTGAACCATGACTTTCATGGTTAGCTCTTTTTTTAGAGATTCTAACCTTTTTTTTGAGATCTAGCCTCTGGTACCATTTTCCCCCAAAATATAACCCTCTTAGAGTTATTCAACATCTTGTTCTAATTTAAATTGATTATTTTTATTTCCTTCAGGTTTTTTTTCCTTTCTTTTCCTTTTTGTTTTTATATCACTGGTTTTCCTTGGTGAACCTTGGTTGTCAATTAATACTTAAGAATGCAGATCTGTGTCAATTTTTCTAGGGAGCTAGTATGTGCTTTTGTGTCAGTCTCCTGTTTCCCCAGTGTTCTCACTCATGAGTGGGAAGATTACCTGGGAGCTTTGTGACATAAGTGTAACAAATCAACCAGCAGGCTTTCTTTAAGGGGTATGGTCAGGTAGCCAGCTATTAAGCAGGATGTCCCTTGAATATTAAAATTAAATGGATTTTACTGTGGAGTGCCAAAGCCATGCTAGATAGAACTAGCTTTCCCAAATAGTTCATTTGATTTTTTTTCTTTTGGCACCTGGCCTATACAGGGATCTGAACCCTTGACCTTGGTGTTATAACACCATCCTCTAACCAACTGAGCTAACCAGACAGCCTATTTGATTTTTCTTTTTTAAAAAGAGATAAGCCTTCAGGGTTTGGTTTTTTTGGGGGTGGGGGGGGGTGTTGTTTTGTTTTGTTTTTCCTAACAGTATATGTTAATCTACCAGCAGATTTTGACTAGTGGTAAATATCCTTCTACCAGCAGCTCTGGGTCTGGAAGTGACAATGGAGACAAATGGCACAGCTGTTCCATGTACAGGCCTTCAATTAACACCTTGTCTTATGTCCTTATCCTTCCAGCTCTTTTAAATTGCTAACTCCAAATTTATAGCTTTTCAGAGGTTCTGATGACAAACCAGTGTCCTCACTGTAGCCCCCTGAAGTGTGTCTAAGCAAGTGCTTCTACACAGTTTTGTCCAACAGGATGCTATCATGTAGGTTCGGTTTTCCAGAAAATTGATAAAATTTCTTCTCTGCTCATGAACACCCTTCTCTCTGTTATGGATTAACCTTCTATATATTGTCATTTCAATGGGGTCCTGGAGGGATAGAAGGTGAAAATGTATGCTCAGTCTACAGTACACACACACACACACACACACACACACACATCTTTATTTATATACATGGCTTCTCTACTGAAGCTCCCTTAAAGGTAAGTGTATTATAAAATGTCCAGCATAGTGCCAAGAATATAATAGTTATTCAAAGATGTCTGGCTGGGGACGTGGGAGAAAAGAAGTCACAAATGACAGAAAAGCATAAGCCTGGATAATGAGTATGTTAATGGAACCAACAAAGAAAGAGTAGGTTTTAAAAGAAAATTATTATTTTAGTGTTGAAAATCAATGTATGTCCCAGCATAGGTTTTATGGCTTTAGTAGAGTCAAAAGAGGCAAATAATGGAAGCTATTTTGCAAAATTTAGTTAACTGATACAAAGGTTGTCTTGTGTGCTCGAAACAGAGCTATACCACTTTACACAGTTATCAGGCACAGAGTATTGCTGCTATCAGAGAGAAAAGAGTGAAGTCATTGTAACTCTTGACTCAACTTGGAATATTCCTTATACCTATAAGATCAGCTCTATCAATACAACAGCTTGATAACTACTACATTAACCCAGATATAAACTTTAAGCTCTCCAAGAGTAGGTACTCAATAAATAATTAATGAGTGAATATATCCCTAATACCTGCTCACAAACCTGATTCCTGAGTCAAGAAATAAAAGGTTTAGAGATGAAAGTCAAATGAACATATTACTGACACTTTCTTGATAGTAAGTAGCCTTTTTATTGATTATCAAAGAGCCTGGCCCTGACCAGGAACTGAATAAATATGTGTGAAGCTAATGAAATAATTAATTATAACTTTTTGAAACTTAAAAAAAAGTGGTGCTTTTAAAGTGAAGGGTGGTATACAATTCTGTACATAAACCAAAACTACTGAATTGTATACTTTAGGCAGGTGAACTTTATGATATAAATTATATCTTAATAAAGCTGCTAAATAAACTCACAAGGAAACTTTTCCAGGCCTGCTGAATGATTCTGGCAGCTTTATCCTGCTTTGTAAATTCTGATTCCTGTCGCCAAGGCATTTGAAAGTCCTAACAGAAAATAATAAAAAAGGATATATTTAAAGTTATTTGATATGCTTTGTTATAAAATCATCACTAGAACTCAATGAAAATTAGACAGTTGTATAAATGAAGCAATGAAAAGAAAATATGGTATCAAAATAATTATAATAAAAATTAAAAGTCACCTATTATTGATTGCCTAATATGTACCAATTTGTTTATTTTTTCTAATTCCAACAACAATCCTGCATAGCAGATTTTACTAATATGCTTGTATTTGAGATGAGAAGACTGAGCTTCGAGGCCTAAGGTCAAATAGTGAGTAACAAAGCCAGTATTGAATCCAAGTATCTCTGCCTTTAAAATCCACAACCTTAGCATACTCTGTTGTATGACATCAAATAAATTTTTTTTTTTTTTAAAAGATGACCGGTAAGGGGATCTTAACCCTTGACTTGGTGCTGTCAGCACCACGCTCACCCAGTGAGCTAACCGGCCATCCCTATATGGGATCCGAACCTGTGGCCTTGGTGTTATCAGCACCACACTCTCCCGAGTGAGCCACGGGCCGGCCCCCAAATAAACATTTCTTAACACGCATAGAGACAGATTTGCATCCACAAAATTGCCCAGGCTGCTAAACTTAGAATTAGAGATGATTCCAGATTTTTTCTCTCTTTTTAACTATTAACTACATCGACTACTTAATACATAATGCATTAAGTTGTCAAAAAAAAGATGAAGTTTGACTAGTAAGGAACAAACAAAATCACTAATTCTAATAATAATTTGTTTTAATACTGTGAAGAATTTAGAAATAGTCAGAAAGACATTATAATTTTAGTCCTTTAAAAAGGTGCAGTGAGCTAAATTATTATTTATGCTTCTTGAACATTTATACCTTAAAAATCATCTCATTCAAAATTGAATGACTGAAATACTGCCATTTGTGGCAACATGGATGAATTGAGAGAAAGTCATGTTAAGTGAAATAAGCCAGGCATAGAAAGAGAAATACCACATGTCCTCACTCGTAAGTGGGAACTAAAAAATAAACAAATACATTTTTTTTTGTCCTTTTTGAGACCAGCTGCACCGCGCTCAGGTCATCCCTATATAGGATCCGAACCTGCGGCGGCGGGAGCGCCTCTGCGCTCCCAGCGCCGCACTCTCCCAAGTGCGCCACGGGCTCGGCCCAACAAATACATTTTTTTAAAAAAAGAAAAATACAACCATCATAATATGTTGAACTTTCAAAAGGAGAGAAAAGAACTGAGTTACAGAGGTATGAAAGGAAGGGGGGGTGGTGAAGGAGGAACTGGTAAAAGGCCACAAAAAATGTTTACATTGTATAATGTTGAATATACTAATTATCCTGATTTGAGCATCATATATTGCACACAGGTAATGATATAAACTCTGTACCCCACAGATATGTATAATCAACTGCATTACAATAAAAAAAGAATGACTAATTAAGTCAAATAATGAAACTGCTCCAGTGTTCTCCAGTGTTATCAGAAGAGTGATATGGAAGAATTTTCTGTTTGTGTAGGTTATATCAATTATACACAATAACTTTATTCATTTTTCAGTATTCATAATAAGAGGAAATACAAAGTATACACAATTAATTCATTGCTTTGGTAGTTTTCTTACATATAACCACAGAAGGAAGACTAGTGAACTAAAAGACTGAAGATGTATTTTAGTTTTAGTTCATATCGCTACTTAACGTAACCTGGGACAAGTAGCTTAACATCTTAAGGCTTCAGTTTCATCATTTGCAAAATGAAAGCACTGCAATAAATTAACTCAAAGTACTTTTAGTTTCACAACTCTATGAGTTTACATTATAAAGGGCATAATGCTCTAATGGTCAAATTAAAGGGGGGGAAAAAGCTTTGCATTGAACACAGGGAGAAACATGGATTTTACTCAATCTCAGAGTTAGTAATAATTCACAGCATGTCATGCATTGCATTTACAGTAAATATACGGTCTGAGATGCTTTCTCATAGTCCAAAATAAATAAATTTTGCTTCAAAGTTTAAAATTCTGAACTGCTGCTTGTAAAATGCAATATGTGTAAGGATTTACAAATCCCAGAACCCTGAAATATTTAAACATACAACACACATCTACTAATATGTGTGCTATATTTAGAGAGACACAGACCAAACATAAAAACTACCTAAAGCATATGCTATTTATAAAGAAAATAAAAGAAAAACCTATTTATATTTTTTCTTAATTTGTTATTTTCTCTCTTGGTGTTTAAAATCATTCAGAAGCTTAAAATTAAAGGTGTTTTCTTCCTAACTGTGTTTATTGTTTAGTTTCTTAAATTAACATTTTTAATAGTAGGAGAAGGTTCTCTATGAAAAAGAATTTGTCTTTTTTCTTTCCTTACAAATAGCTTTAACAAAAGGGAAGCACGGGGAGATTAAGTCTTTGGGCTCTGAAGATAGACCAGGATTTAAGTCTCAACAAATTCTACTTCATACTTAGCTGCGTGATCCTGCTTAATTTACTTAACTTATTCAAATTTCAGGTTTTTCATTTGTAAAATATAGGGACCGAGAGTACCTACCTCATAAAATTATGAAAATTAAGTCATATAATACAGATAAAGCATTTAGTACAGTTTCTGGCCCACCATAACCACTCAATAAATCTTACATACTATTACAATAGAAACTATTTTCTAAAATAAGAACTATTCATGTGCATTATTCTGTTTAAAAAATTGATGTAACTGGACGTTTTAAGCACAATTATTTTCTTAATTTACAAATAAGTATTAGAACAAATGAGAAGGAATAATATTTGGGGTGTAAAAGATTTGTTAATTTTGATCAAAGGACAGTATTTCAAGAAATTCTCTTTCTAGTCAACAGATGGAGAAATAACAAAATATAGTTTATCTTTGTATTTTGGGACACTTCAGGAAAAACAGTTTTCCTTGTGAATGATGTGATAAACAGTTTTAATAATTTTTAAAGACACTGTCACTATTTGTCATTAAAAGAGATAAACATAGAAGATAACTCTGCCATCTGAAATTTATTAATTTAAAAAATCATATCAAAATGTGACAAAAAATAGAAAAATAATTATAATAAATTTTGATACATTGTGGTCACCTCTATTCATTACTCTTAGGTTTTCTTGTCCATGTTCTTTTTTACTGGTCAACATATACAATACAGTTATTATTTGGTTATAAAATCAGGACAATTAAAAAATAGCATTAGAAATATATTAAAAATATCATTCCCTATTTAACATCTCATTACTGTTTAAAATCCAAAATATTTCAAAACACTGTCTAGACTTATTTACTTTAAAGGATATTATGTAAACAATACACAAATTCAAACAACATAGAACTACAGAGTAAAAAGTGAAAATTGTCCATCCCCCATTTCTTCTAGCCCAGTTCTGTCTTCAAAGGCTATCTCTGTTAATAGATGTGTTTCTTCCAGATCTTTTCTTATATATTTAAAAATTTTAAATAAACGTATATGTGCCTGTGTACATACATATATACATAGTTTATATATATGCATACATTTGTATATAATATACACATTGTATATACACAAATATCTTCTATATACACATATACAAACACATATATATAAGGTTTGAATGAACGTGATCAAACTATATATATATATATATATATATTTTTTTTTTTTGTCTTTTTGTCTTTTTTCCGTGTCCGGCAACAGATCACAACCCTCAGTGTCGCCCCCGTACCGGACCGGGGACCGGCAACGGGATTGCAAGCCTAGGTGTTGCTCCCGCGCCTCACTCAGCCAGTGAGCGGGAACCGGTCTGTATGTGGGATCCGAACCCTCGGACGGGAGCGCCGCCGCGCTTCCCAAGCGGCGCACTATCCAGTGCGCCACCGGGCCGGCCCTATATATATTTTTTTACTCAACAATATTTGTTGAAGACTGCTCCATGTTGATACATATAGATCCTACTCATTCTTTTTATAGCTGCACAGTATTCCTAAGTATGGATGTCATAATTTACTTAATCTTTCCATTCGTTATTGGACATTCAGATTGTTTCTTTTTTTTGTTTATGATTTCAAAATGAATATCCTAGTACATATATTTGTGTATATGTGCAACTATTCTTGTAGGATAGATTTTTAGAAGTGGAATTGCTGTGACAAAAGGTATTCACATATATATTTGCATTGACTCTCTCTGGGAAGGGATACAAGTAACTGTTAAAAGTATTTGTCTCTAGGGAGGGCCCAGCAGACTGAGGGACCTAGGTTCAGGAATGAAAGAGATATTATTCCAGCATACTCTTTTATACTGTTTGGTTTTTTTCACAGTGTGCATGTAGTTCACATATATGAGGGTACTACAAAAAGTTAATGGAAAGATTAGTATTACCTTTTAATTCTATTTTTCCATGAACTTTTTGAAGTATATAACTCTATTTTTTTTTAAAAAGAGCATGTATATTAAAATTTTGACACTGTCAAATTGTCCTCAAAAATGTTGTCCTGTGTACCCCCCTCTCACAACCAGGCACACTGCACCAGCACCTCAGGGCCCACCCTGGGACCCAAGGAATGGAGAAGGGGACCGGACCCCTCCTCCCACAACCAGGTACACCCTGCCAGTGCCAGTGCTTCGGGGCCCAACCAGTGACCAGAGGCATGGAGAAGGGAACCAGACACACCCCATAATCAGGCATACTGCCAGCACCAAGGAGCATGCCAAAAACATCACCTCCATGTGGGTGGCCCTCCAAAGCCAAGACAATAACCATGGCTGCCGCGAAAGTGGCTAGACAGCACAACCACCATGCAGATGATCCACCAACCACTGGAGTGCATTGACACAAGGAGAGTCACCAGCAGAGATAAAGAAAAGGAAAGGCTATCTCTCTCCACAAAGCCCATTTCAGAGTGACAGAAGTTTCCACTCTATGATAATATTGGGGGACCTGATCACACCTCTCAGCATTGGACAGATCATCTAGGCAACAA